AGTTGGCAGTTAGATAGGCTTTGATAGGATGCCTGGGGGCCAGCAAAGGGGGAGTCATGGTCCATTATCAAGGAAGATAGAGACCTGTCTTGGCAGCATTCCAAAAACAAAGCCACAAGCAGCTGATCAAACCAGACAGGCTCAAAATAAAGGAGGCCAGAGACCCTGACCAAGTAAGGGAGAAAAGGCACAAAACCCTGAGAAATCCCTTCCCCAAATAATAAATGCTCCACCCCTTAGTTAACAACTGTCAATAAAAGAGACGCAAACCCCTGGCACAGCTCTCTTGAGCTCTCTGGATCTCACATTTTTAGAGTGTACTCCTGCCTTTTTTTTTTTAAGATTTATTTATTTATTTTAGAGAGAGAGAGAGAGAGAGCAGGGGGAGGAGCTAAGTGGAGAGCCTGAGTTAGGGCTCAGTCCTAGGACCCTGAGATCATGACCTGAGCTGAAATCAAGAGTCAGACGCTTAACGGACTGAGCCACCCAGGCGCCCCATGACCTGAGCCGAAGGCAGACGCTTAACAACTGAGCCACCCAGGCGCCCCAGGCGTCCCCTTTTTTAAAGATTTATTTATTTAAGAGTATACTCTCGCTTTAATAAACTCTTCACTTGCACCGCTCAACCCCTGTGTCTGGTCTGTCCTTCAATGCTCTCTTGCAGGAGACCAAGAGCCTCCAGTGACATCTGGGGGATGGGCTGGGTGGAGGCCTCAGGGCCCAAGGGTCTCCCCAGTCCACGCAACACTACTACCATATAAGGATACTACAAAAAGACAGGTGTCTATGAATGAGAAAGCAGGCCCTCACCAGAACCAGATCATACTGCTGCCTTGATCTTGAACTTCCCAGCCTCCAGAACTGTGAGAAATAAAATTGTTCTTTAGAAGCCACCTAGTCTATGGTATTCTGTTATAGCAGCCTGAATGGACTAAGTCCCCAGTGATCTTATCTCTCTGTATGCTTTGTAGTCCCTTCTGCACTGTACCAGGGCTGTACCAGGGCCGGTCCACGAGCAACACTATATGGCAGAAGAGATGATATGTCACTCCTAAGATCGGGTGATGAAAGACACTGTGGCTTCTGTCTTGGTCACTCTCTCTCACTCTTGTATCACGTGCTCCAGCTGTGAGTTGCCATGTCATGAGCAACCCTGTGGAAAGGCCTGCAGGTTGAGGAACTGAAGCCTCTTGCCCTCAGCCACGTGAGTGAACTTGAGGCAGATCCTTTCATCCAACTGAGCTTTCAAATGATTACAACCCCAGTTAGGATCTTGGCTGCAAACTTACAAAAGACCCTAAGCCAGAACCACCCAGCCATGCTGCCGACATTCCAGTCCCTCAGAAACTATAAGAGAATGTACATTTGTTGGTATAAATTGTCAAGTTTGGAGGCCCCTGGGTGGCTCAGTTGGTTAAGCGTCTGACTCTTTGTTTTGGCTCAGGTCATGATCTCAGCATCCTGAGATCCAGCCCTGCACTGGGCTCTGTGCTCAGTGGGGAGTTGGCTTGGGATTCTGTCTCTCCCTTTCCCTCTGCCCCACCCCCCTCTCTCCTGCGCACTGCTCTCTCTCCCTCTCTCAAATAAATAAATAAATAAATCTCTTAAAAACTTGCCAAGTTTGGAGGTAATTTATTACAAGCAATAGATAATTAATATGGCAATTGTCTCAAACTTCTATACACTTTATTTTAAAGGCTTTCTAGCTTAATGCATTCCCCATAAATATTTAATCACAAAATAGCAAAAGAGAGTTAAGGTAGCTCCAGCTGGAAACTGGGAACTCTTCTCAACTCTTTACTTTGATATTAAAGGCCCATAATATTCATAATCCCTTCATAGACTGCTACCTGGCAGTCTTATCAATTTCCTTATCAATTAACAGAGCCACAGGACTGTCTTATGCATTCCTTTTATCTTGGACTCCTTCCTAGTTGATGTGTAGGATCTGTGTATTTATCAGCTGACCTATGACTGAATACCAAGGTGTGCAAGAAAATGCAGATCTTTCATAGTTGCCACAATCCCTGCCAGACATCTCCAGAACTCCTTTCATCCTGTAAAACTGAAACTCTATATAACCCATTAAACAACAACTCTCCATTCTCCCCTTCCCCCCAGCCCTTGGCAAACACCATTCTACTTTGTACGATTTTTGACTACTCTAAGTACCTCATACAAGTGGAATCACACAGTATTTGCCCTTTGTGACTGGTTTATTTCACTTAGCATAATGTCCTCAAGGTTCGTGCATGCTGTAGCATATGTCAGAATTACCTTCTATTTTAAGGCTGAATAATGTTATATTGTATGCTTATACCACATTTTGCTTATCCTTTCATGTGCCGATGGACAAGTGGGTTGCTTCCTCCTCTTGGCTACTGTGAATAGTGCTGCTATGAATACAGGTGTGCAGATACGTCTCTGAGGCCCTGCTTTCAATAATTTTGTGTATACACCCAGAAGTGGAATTGCTAAATCATATGGTGATTCTATTTTTAATTTTTTGAGTAACCACCATGTTGTTTTCCACAGTGGTTGTACTATTTTATATCCCCACCAACAGTGCACAAGGGTTCCAATTTCCTTGTCAACACTTATTATTTTATTTTGTTTTTTATAGTAGCCATCCAGTGGATGTGAAGTGGTTATTCACTTAATTTTTATTTCCTTTTTATAGATGACAGAACTGAAGCACTGGAAGGTTAAACAAGGGCTCACAGTCATTAAGTGTTAGAGCCAGGATTTGAATCCAAGTAAACTGATCCACTCTTAACCAAGATGTCAAAATTCTTGTGAGGCAGAAGTTCCAAAACTCTCAAGTAGAAGACAGAGGGGGTTCAAGGGCTAACACCCACCAAGTAAAGGGCAAAACAATTAGGAGCAAGTTAATTTTATCTTTCTCCTGATAATGTTCTCCCAATGCTTGGAGGCTGAACTTGCCAGGAAATTACAAAATATTGTTCTGGAGGTAGAACTCTTTTTTTTTTCCCTTTTCTCCATAAATGAGCTTTTTTCAGAATGTCCATTAGGACTTAGACTGCTAACAGACACATGAAAAATGCTCAACATCACTCATCATCAGGGAAATACAAATCAAAACTACAATGAGATATGGCCTTACACCTGTCAGAATGGCTAAAATTAACAACACAGGAAACAGCAGATGTCAGCAGGGTGTGGAGAAAGGGGAACTCTCTTGCACTGTTGAGGGGAAGGCAAACTGGTGCAGTCACCCTGGAAAACAGTATGGAGGTTTCTCAAAAAGTTAAAAATAGAACTACCCTATGCCCCAGCAATTGCACTACTAGGTATTTACCCAAAGGATACAAAAATACTGATTCAAAGGGAGACATGCACCCTGATGTTTATAGCAACATTATCAACAAATAGCCAAATTATGGAAAGAGCCCAAATATCCATCGACTGATGAATGGATAAAGAAGTTGTGGTATATATACACAATGGAATATTACTCAGCCATTAAAAGGAGTGAAATCTTGCCATTTGCAATAACACGGATGGAGCTAGAGGGTATTATGCTAAGCAAAATAAGTCAAAGAAAGACAAATACCATATGATTTCATTCATATGTGAAATTTAAGAAACAAAACAGATGAATATAGGGGGAAAAAAAAGAGAGGCAAACCAGGAAACAGACTCTTAACTATAGAGAACAAACTGAATGCTCCTGGAGGGAGGTGAGTGGGGGATGGTCTAAATGGGGGACGGGCATTAAGGAGCGCACTGTGATGAGCACTGCGTGTTGTATGTAAGTGACGAATCACTAAATCCTACACCTGAAACTAATATTACACTTTATGTTAACTAACTGGAATTTAAATAAAAACTTAAACAAACAAATCAGACTTAGACTGGAGCTTTCTTATACCCTGATTTCTGTATTGTCTAGTCACGCCACCTAACACCAAAAAAAATTCATTAAGGTTTTGTCAGCCATATACATCCCAGTTGTCTTTTTAGTCAATTCAGGACTCAAAAATGCCCCCCCCCTTTTTTGGTAAAGATTTTATTTTATTTTTTTTTAAGTAATCTCTACACCCAATATGGGGCTCGAACTCACAACCCTGAAATCAAGAGTCCAGTGCTCTTCCAACTGAACCAACCAAGCACCACAGGCCTCTCTTTTTTTTTAATATTGATTGATTGATTGATTGTAATCTCCACACCCAACCTAGGGTTCCAACTCACAACCCCGTGATCAAGAGTCCTGTGTTCTTGCAACTGAGCCAGCCAGGCACCCCTCAAAAAGGCCTCTTAATTGAAAAGCCGCCCTGGCCGACTACCAGAATGCTCACATATTACACTTTATATCTGTATTAAAGATGCCAACAAGAGCTGGCCTCAAAGAAATTCCTTCCTCCAGAGCAGAGACAATGTGTGAGATTTAAGAACGTGGGCCTTAGCATCTGGCAAACATTTACTCCTTTGAAACTCAGCTTGTTACTTGACATAAAGTAACCCAACATTTCTAAGTTTCATATATAAATATGTAAATATAAATCATATATAAATCAGGAAATGATAGGACCAGAACTCATGCACAAGAAGAACCTAGCGTGCAGAAGGCACTCAATAAATGCTTGATAGTGTTATTACTTCAGTCCTATATCCGTGCACAACAAAATTGTGCATTGTAAACATTTACCATTGAGCAAACACCGATTATTAAGAATATATGTTCAAATTCTAGAAACTATGCGTAACGAGGGTTACCGACCACAGAACAGGTACACACCAGTACACGGTTACCTTCCAATGTAAATATGTAGATTCGTTGCACTGGAATCAGGCATCAAGTGAACCCACTAGAAGGGTCTTCGTGTTCTGAGATGTGGCACAGCCACTTCTTGAACAGATTATTGCACAGTAGCAAAAACTTCTCCACGTTTTGTGCTTTTCTTATGTATAATTATGCAAACTATAAAAAAAAAAAAAATCCCTGGGATTTGTGAATCTGTGTGGGCGCACAACCTCAGAGGGTTGTTGAATCTCGAAAGCCAGCCCAGCCTGTGAAGATTGGCCCTCCCCTCATCCCAGCCGAAGTGCAATCCTATCGTCGCAGGCCTAGCCGGGTTGGTGACTTTTCTCTGAACAGTGGTGGCCTTGAGAAAAGGGCCACTCACGGTGCTCGCGACCCAGCGGGTGTCAGCCCCGCCCCTGCCCAGCCGAGCCAGCGGCAAGCGTCTCCGCGCCCCGCCTGGGCTCCGCCCCACTCGGGCCCCGCCCCCAACAGCGCGGCCTGCATCTCCCATGAGCCTCTTCGGCTGCCACACTTCGGAAAGGAAGTGGCCTTCTGCACCCGGGCAGCAGTTAAAAGACGGATCGCCGCGGGCAGCAGCTGCTGGGCCCAGGCGGGAGGCGGGACTTCCGCTCCTTCGGGTGTACGTCAGGCAGGAGGCGGAAGCGCAGCGGGGGCGGGAAGGTTGTAGAGCCGCACGTTGGGCTCTGTTTGCAGGTCTCTAAGTGGTCGCGCCCCCTTTGAGAGAGCGATCCGAAAGCGAGGAGGGTCCTGGGCGCTTTCTTGGCCCTGGTAAGTAGGACCGCCTGACGGCGCCGGGGGAGGAAAGTGTGTGGCCCCGGCGCTGATCTGCTGTTGCTGTCTTTGTTGCTATAGGGTAGCGGCCTCCCCACCTTCCTCACTTCCCTTTCTCTGGATGTTGGCCGCAGCCGCCCAGCCTGCCCTCCACGCCCTCCAGCAAGGACCCTTTGAGACGCAGGTGCCGCCCTGTCTCATCCCTGCTTTATGTTTCCCTTCACTAGATGGCACTCTTTCCTCTCGTCCCAACCGGCTTGGCTCGCCCTGTGCTTCTGCTTCAGGGGCATGTAAGGATATTTTGTTCAAAACCGAAATCTGTTTGCCAGCCCTTGTACTTTGCCCGGGTTCCGCTAAAGGCATCCCTCATCACGCCAATAGAATCAGTTCCTCTCTGCTTCCGGAGCACTGTTTGCGCCTTTTAAAGAGCGCGTTTGTTAAACTTTTTAGTAAGGTTGTTTGAATGAGAGTGTATTTTCCCGCTGAACTGTGTGTTCCTTGAAGGGAGGAGTAGGGTCTTTGCTCATTTGCGATCTCCCCAAGGCCTAATACAAAATCCACAAAGTTGGAAACTAACAGCCCCAAGTATTCTTACTAGCTTTGTGGGCTTGGGCACGGAACTCCCCATGTATAAAATGGTGATAAGTAAAAGAATTTAAAGCATCTTACGCAGTGTATGGTGCAGAGTATGTACTTGATAAATTCTAGGCGTGTTTTCCTTTTTAGCTTTCAGTATACACAGTAGTTGCTGGATATATTTTTTAAGTGAATCAAGAAGCACCATAGAGGAGTGATTTTTTTTTCTTCTGTCTAGCACTGATCGTATTGATGCCATCAATTGGTTGATACATTTGGTAGTGTTTGGTAAATACAACGTAATGGTGTATATTAAAGACAGCAATGCTAAATGTTGGTATCAACATCTGCAAGAGTAAACATTTAACCTTAACGTTCTAATTAAATACTTGAGGGGCTTGCAGAATTTAAATTTGTGATTTAAGTCTGTGCGCTTCTCAGATGTATATTTCTGAAGCGATGAAAAAACTGAAAACATTTCATTGTAGGGAGGCTAGTTTTACCTGACAGCTTTTAGTTTGTTACAAAAGTATGATGCATTTTATATATATGTATACATATTTTTTACAGGTGACTGTAAAGTGCTGACCAGTTGCCACTGAGCATAGTTGAAACAAAATAGGAAGATATGGCAGCAAACCCTTCAGGACAAGGTAATGCATGCTGGAACTTGTTATTACTAGGAACTTCCCCCCCCTTTGATAAACGTGTTTTAATAGAAAAGTTAGGATAGGGCAGTTACTGTAGTCAGAATAAAAAATGAAGAGCAAAGTAAAAACCCTGTACTTGAAGTAAGTCCAACATTGTGTCAGATATATAACATTCTTAATAGCTATTAATCCTATGTTTTAACCTGTGTTAAGATTATGCACAACCGTGGGCGCCCCGGTGGCTCAGATGGTTAAGCATCTGCCTTCAGCTCAGGTCATGATCCCAGGGGTCCTAGGATTGAGCCGCGCATCAGGTTCCCTGCTCATCGGGGAGTCTGCTTCTCCCTCTTCTGCCCCTCCCCCCTGATCGTGCTCTCTCTCTCTCTTGCTCTGCTCTCTCTCTCAAATAAATAAATAAATAAAATTCTTAAAAAAAAAAAAGATTGGGGACCCCCTCAGTGGCTCAGTCAGTTAAGCATCTGCCTTCGGCTCAGGTCATGATCCCAGCATCCTGGGATCGAGTCCCACATCAGGATCCTTGCTCAGCTCGGAGCCTGCTTCTCCCTCTGCCCCTCCCCCCTGCTCCTGTGCGCTCGTGCGCGCTCTCTCACTCTGACAAAATCTTAAAAATAATAAAATAAAAAGATTATTCACATTGTAAACCTTAGGCCGTCCTCTGACATCTGTGTTCTCTTTTCTTTGAAATCAGAACCACTTTTAAAGAGGTTATATTGTCACCAGGAAATATCCATGCCTTTATCTTCATTTGCTCTAGAAACTTTCATACACATTACCTCTGTTTAGAAGCTCTCTAAAGCAAATCAGGTCAGACACATCCTAGAGAAATTTTTATTTAAAAGTAAGTTTTAAGAAATAAAATTTAATCTCAAGAAAGTATTAAATCCCACTTTGTAAGTTATGTCCTGTTTCAAAACTTGAAGCAAACCTCTATTTCCTTTCCCTATCAACTCTAAACTCTTGTTTGACCCATATTTTTTTGTTACTTAACTCTGTTCTGATTTTTTTTTACCTTAGTTTTATCTTAACTTAAACCTCATATAAATGTAATTCATAGAGTGTGTACTTGTTTGTGTCCAGCTTCTTTCACTCACTAAACTGCGAGTTTTATCCATGTTATGCCATATATCAATAGCTCATTCTGTTTCTTGTGGAGTAGTGTTCTATTGTATGTATTTACCACCATTTTTAAAAAATTCATTCTCCCATTCAGGAGCTTTGGGGTTGTCTCAGTTTTCGCCATTGTGAATACAGCTGCTTTGAATATTAGTTTATAAGTCTTTTTGTAGATATTTGGATTAATAGCTGAGTATCTTGTTAACGTTTTGAAAAGCTGCCAAACCTTTTCCCAAACTGGCTGTACCAATTTACATTCCCTCTGGCAACGTGTGAAAATTCTGGGTGCTCTATATATAGTGTTATAGGTCGTCTTAATTTTAGCCATTTTAGTGGTAAAGTGACATCTCATTGTATTAACTTGCATTTCCCTGATGACAAATGTTGAGCTCTTTTTTTGTACCTACTGGCCTTGTAAATCTTTTTTCTTTTTTTACTTAAGTCTTTTGCTCATTTTTTTAAAAATTGGTTTATTTTTATCATTAAGTTTTCTTTTTTTTTGGAGTCTAGATACAGGTCCTTTGTCACTGCTAATTGCATCATCTGGGTCATCTTGAAGTTGGTTTCTGTTGACTGCATTTTTTTTTTTTTTTGAGCGTGGGTCACCTTTTTTTTTTGCTATACTTTGTGATTGGATATTATGACTAATATATTGTAGAGACTCTGGATTCTTTTGTATTGCTCTGAAATGTGATTTTTGTTCTAGCAAGTGCAAGCCTTCAACTCAAACTGCAAACTCTTGTCTTCCTTGTGTTGGGCAGTAGCGGAACTTTCTGCTCAGTCTTTTCAGCTTCCAACTGCTGCTTTATTGCTGGATCCCCCTGGCAGGAAGCAGAAACATTGGGTGGATTGTATAGGCATGTTTTGGGCTTTACTCCTTCTGCCTTTCCCTATGGTGTTTCTCCCCTCGTTTTCTGGCTACTCTGCAAGCCTGAACTGTCCTCTGATAACTCAAAGCCAGTAAGGTGAGGCTGTCCCAACTGTTTGTGGATTGAACAAAAGGTCACAAATTCCTGAATCTCACTAGTTGCAGTTTCTGCCTGATTTTGGTCAGTCTCTAGTGCCTTCAAATAATGAATTTTTAATCTTTTGTCCAGAATTTATAATTATACTGTGGCAGGGTTCGTCTAACCAAACTACTCTGCTACTACTGGAAGTTGGAAGTCTGCTGTTTCATTATATATAGATCTATTTTGGTATATTAATTGCATTTAGGGCACAGTAGCGGTTGCATGAGTTTTATAGAAGTGGAGTAGTGTAAAAAGCCATAGCTGTGGTGACAGTTGTAACTAGCTCGTACCGTTCTGTTCTCTCAAATAATCAGGTGTGATTTGTGTGCTCCGGGGATTAATCACAGGTCAACATTCGCTTCCGATCTCTGATCTCTTCATCAGGTTATCAGATGAAAAATAATTTAATCTGAACCAAAATGAAAACAGAGAGACATCTATTTTGGAAGGAAAATATGCTGTTAAAAATCACACAATGCAGTCCAGATGAAAATAAATTTTAAATTATCTGTTCTAATAGCACAGTAATTGAGATTTATAATTTGCTGGGTATTTATGTATTTTTTTAGCATTTGCAATAAAACGCGATCATTTTTAGGGTTGCCTTTGATTGATCCATAATCATATCTGTTGTGAAACATCCTCTAATCTAAATAGAAGTGAATTTAGATTAGCCTTCGGCCTCTGTTCTTTTGTCAGTGATTTTGTTGGTGTCCTGAGCTGGTATTAGGCACCAGCAGAGGGAGTCCATATCATGCTCTGTAGACACCCAGTGAAAATTTTAAAATTCTCATCTATTTGGATCTATTGCATTTTACTTTCTATATTAAATTATTTCTGTACTCTTTATATGTATAGGAACTACGTAATACAGAGATTGAATGCCAAGTGCCATAACTATCTTACAATGATTGCTGAAAGAACCATGACTTTAAAAAAAGTCCTGATCCGTACATTGCCATTTGTTAATGTCTCTGGTGTAGGAGACAGAGTCCTGTGGTGTTCACTGAGCCCTCTAGCAGATCTAGCAGTCTGTCATACTGTGCTAGCAGTCAGGACTGCTAAATTTCGTAAGCTCTTGGCACACAGTCACTGAAGTCTCCTCCTTACCATCCATCGTAGTCTGGAACATTTGGTTGGTTCTTAATAACTACCTGACTGATAAGTAACATTTTGAGAATTTTAATATGTAGAGGCAGATTCTCAAATTGGAATTTGGCCAATGGACTATGTAAAAGAATCTTTCATTATTGGTAAATATCAAGGTCCTATGATCGTGTGGTGGCACCTGATTTCAGACACACAGAAACCTAGTGAAATACTGAGTAAGAAATGTGAATTATTTTCTTTGATTCTTTTATTTTCTAGTTATCTTAAAATGTTTATAGTAATAACTATAAGCCCTGCAGATCAGGTGGTGGGAACTTTTGACTTGGGGCCATTCTGGATGCTCTTAGCTGTGATTTCAGGGTGCTTTGTAGGAGTGGGGTGGCATAGCTCTTGGGAGGTGTCTTGCTTGGCCTCAGGCCCAAATACAAGTCTTACCCCAAACTATCTATGGTCCAGAAGAAAAGCAAGGTATGCTGTCAGTTAACATGTAAATTAAATGTAAATTAAAATTTACGCTGATGTGTAAAAATAATTTAAAATTCTTGTTTGTACTTTTTTAAAGAGGAAAGTGTGGATGCAATTTGCAGTAGGTTTTTAGAAACAAAAAAATTTGTTTTTGTCTCATTTTTAGCTGCAAAGGCAGAATACAGTATTTTTCTGATGTGCTAGGAATGATCTGTAGGCCCCAGGTTGAAATGGGAATTAAACTGAGTTGAGGCAGAATATGTCGTAAAGGAGCTTCAGATCTTGTGTATAGTTAGGAGAGAGCTTGAGATTCCCAGGCCCATTCAGACTGGCCTGGGAGGCCTGTCATGTGAGCCTAACCTGGAAAGCTGCATGCTGATCAGTTGTATTCTTTGTAATGAAAAACTATTCACTGAAAGTGAATTGGCAGAATGGGGCTGAGAAGAATCTAGTGATGTTAACTAACTAATGCAGAATGCTAGAGAATGACAGTAATAGTATTTA